ATGAAATGCATTGTTGTTCTTTGCAGCTTTGATTATGTTTTTTCCCCCAAGGATTTTAAGACAAAAAGATCTTAATACTCAGTGGCTGATTTTTTTTTAACTTGCTCTCTCTTGCAGGGATGTGTTTGTGCGTCTGCATAGCAGACAGGGCTGATATTATTGTCCCACTTTTTGTTACCCTTTATTTTAAATACTATTAATTACAACTGTCTAAATGATTGGACACATTTTTGTCTTTTTTAAAAAGGTGTGCTAAACGTCCAAGCAGTGAAAACACTCAGATATTGTTCGTGAAATGGAAACTACCTACTACCAAGATGAAGCTAAATGGAAAAATTGTCATCTCAGTCATTCATATCTTAATTTATTTGTCTCCTTTTCTGAATATCTTTCAATCTCCCATTTCTGTCTGTATAATTCTTCAAGATGCTCTACTTCACATTTATATAAAAAAAGAGAGAAATATTTAAATGGAAATCTGCTCTGTTGTTGTTTTTTTGCAAATGGAAATATTTTCTCTTTACACAATTTTTGTTTTTTACATAATCAGTTATTGCCAAACAACAATTTAGGTCTCAAAGAACCTGCATCTTAACATAAACACAACCCAGGTGAGAGCTGAGGTGGAAAATGGAGCTAAACATGGAGCAGGCTGAGAAAGAGGCACAGCTGCAGGCTTCAAATAGATGTTTTTCATTCAGGCTAAATTAACACAAGCTCCTTGGCTCATCATTAGATAAACAATGCTCAAAAGAATGAAAAAAGTAATTAGTAAATAAATGAAAATGTTTGCCTGATAGTTTCCCTTAGCAACTGCATATTGTCCAGCAAATCCAGCATCATCTGATAAACCTTGTTCTTTATTTCACTTCAGATGTGGATCATTCCTATCAAAGATTTGGTCCATTAAATTCAACAATAACTAGTGAAGCATGACTTTATACACCTAACAATATACTCAGTATTTTAAGAGCTTGTGTTAAAACCAATACTTTATTCTTAGCTGCTAAGCTGCTAAACCTTCCACTATCATCCAATTGAAAACCTGCACATGGACACAATTAGCTCCAAAAGGAGCTAAATGTTTTAACCTGGCGCATTATTTTACAGCCTAAACCCAAAGATACCAGTTGGTCATCAGCGTCTTTTTCCCAGGCGGATGTGGTTTCATTTGCAGTGGATTCAGTGCTTTGAAAGCCTTCACATCACTTTGAATCATCAGGCATGAGTAGACAGTCATTTACTGACTTCCCTCCTGGGTAAACAGAGTCATTCTGGCTCTGTTGGCTTGATGTCACATCATCTGATCCTGTTCACTAGCAGATGGTTTGTAAATCGCTCTGTGGCCTCTTCTGCCATAGGGAGAGATGCAAACAGCTTAGCCAAGGGTCCCAGATTTAGTTTCCTGCTATGACGGTTTAAACACTTTTGGGGTTTTACATGAGGAGCAAGTTGAGTTGATGGATTATTTTTCCAATTCTTGTATTTATGAATTCAGTGATTTATCAATCACTGATGTTGGTTTGGAACACCTCATTTATCCTTTCTGGTTAAGATCAGGACGTTCACACCAAACAGCTCATCTTTCTTGATAGACAGATAGAACAGAAAGAGGCAGACCCCAAAGTGTTCTTACAAACTTTGGGGGATGAGATTATCAGAGCACCGAGACACTGGATTAAAGGGAACTAACCTTAACCCTTGAAAAACAGTCCTACCAAAAGCACCACATCTGGCGGTTTCATGAAGCACAATTTCTTTAACTCATCTTGAGGGCACATGCAGCTTAGAGATCTGTAGAGATAGACCTTTCTAAACGTTCAGTTTCCTCCATTCAATGAGTATCTCATCCCTACTGACAACAATATGGGATTTAATGTCTACATCTATGCTGTTGTTGTTCACAGTTGCTTTTTTTTTAAATACAAAACCACCAACAGCAGACTGGATTATTTAGTAGAAAAGGGACTCCATGATTGGACCAAAGGATATCCTATCATAGTTCAATGCTTTTCTTTATGGGTTTTAAGGGGAAAAACCCCTGTTGTGGTTCTTGGTCTTTCTCATCATGACAAGCATCCTTAAAAGAATAATCCACACTTTTAGAAATTAAGGCAAAGAGAACCGTGTATTTTGGCCAGTTACAGACTGCTTTACGTGAGCTTTTCATGTAAAATCCAGGTAATATAGAATGAAAATAGAAGTTTAAGGGATGAGGATGCTTGTAAGCAAAGCTCAGATTCTACTCAACTAATTTTCCTCAAAAACTGAAAGTAGATTTTTCAGCAAAAAAATTAACCACTAAAAAAAACTTTTTTATAACTCCATTTTATAACTGCTTACCGATTCACTCTTTTTTAGGTACTTTTTTTTTTTTTAAGTATAAATAACATTTCTATTCAGACCTTGTAGATTTTATCTCCAACCCATTCCTGCCATCTGCTGTTCACCTTGCGGCATTACATATTTCATACCAGCAGTTTTTTAAAGAATCTTTTCAAACTTCTGCTTTGCCTCCAAAGTTAAAAATAAAACAAAATAATTTTAATGAGGACAATATTATTGCAGGTTACGCACACCTCTCTTCGTTTACTTTCAAATAAATAAAACAAAACATTTACATAGGGTCAAAAGTAAATCTGTTTACATTTATCTTAATTGGTATGCAGAAAACACTAAATACAAGATCTTATCTTTATACGAGAGGTCAAACATTCAACAGACTAATGAAAACTAAGGTAAAATAGAAAAGCAGAAGAAACCCATTGAGTGATTCTCTGAATATAGAAATGTCTTTCAAAAAAGGGGAAAAAGCTCTCTGGCAGAAACAAACTAAAGGTAATTCGACAGTTCATACCTGAAAAGATGACTGCGATCTAATATTTGAAGGTTAAAAGCCAAATTAGTCAAAAATATTTTTTATATAAATGTCAAATTTTTCGGTTTTGGCATTAAATATTTTTTATATAATAAACATTTACTTTAAAAGACAGCAATTAGTTATTAGGTTGTGTTATTGCAGCAGCACTGCAATAACACAACAGCGATTCTTAATAATTTTCAAAAAATGTTAAAGAGTAATAGAGATTTAAGATCATGAAGCTTCCCACCTGGCCAAAAGGAAATCCAAGTCTGATCTCAGGGTTTGGCTGCACCAATCAGAGCAACATATAAACCAATTATTGATTTTTAATTAAAATAGCATGCTGACATAGGAACATGGACATCTTCAAAATAAACAAAGCCCGTTTCTTTCTAGATGTAGGATTGGTTTCAGTGGAAAACAAAATTTATTTCAAATTCATCCTAAAGTGAAAATAAATCAAAAAGAAGGCAATGTATTCATTACAGTTACAGACATCAGTACTGCTTTGATCCACATATTTTATCCAGAACAACAAGGAACCTGATGTTAGGCCTTTATAGCTTTCCCAGAATTGAGACAAGACATCTTCTAATTGTCCTAAATTTAGACATTTAATCAAACAGAAGTATTTTACAGGTAGGTAGAGCCTATCAAATATTGACAGTGCAACTTAAACCTGTTCAGTTAAACAATAAAAGGAAACCACACCCTGCTTAATAAACCTCTCCCACTCCATCTAGAGCACATGACTAAATGAAATAAAGCTATATAAATATTCTAAGTAAAACGAACAGAACTGTGTTGTGTTGAAGAAACACTGATTCTTTGCCTGATGTTTTTATTTCTCTTCTGTAACGTGATATTAATGAAAGGGAAATTCAACTAGAGGTGGTGATAACTGGCCGTCCTTAAGCTCATTTTGATCATTTTCTGCAGCAGGAATTATTCAGAAAATGAACCTGTGGAAGAAGCAATGAATTTTTTTTTTATTGAGGACTGAATAAAAATAAATATGTTAAAACCATAGGAGAACTGTGCTTAGGTCCTTTAAGTGATCGGGGTCCACCTCTAGAAATATTTTAAGTCTATTTAAAAGCTTTTAATTAGAACAGGCATTAATATATGTCCTTGTTCTACTGTCACAGTTTTTTTTTTTGCAATGGCTCCAATTTTAATAAACTTAAATGCATAGAGAAAAAAATCTCTCAGTGGAAGCTTGAAATAAAAGAGAAACTCTGAAGCAGACATGAGGTACCTGGTAAATGTGTATAAATATCTCAACAGTCCTTAACAGAGGCTCATATCAAACATAAAACGCTCTACTTGACATGTAAAAGCAAAACATTCATTGCTTTCTGCCCAATATGGTACAGTACAGCTGGGTTATTGTAGATTAGTACCCCTGATGTTGATACTCTAACCTGTTTTGTATTTTTAAAGTTGACCAGAAGTTATTCATGAATAAAGAATAAACACAGGCTCCTAGGTCTGTACTGTAACATGCAACTGAAAGCTAAAGCTGCCAACTATAAGAGTACAGAGTGGGGAAAGTCCTTAATACCAGGTTGTTTGAGAAACAGCTGTGTATGTTGAGTAAGACGTTGGCTTCCACTCGCTTTTTTCATAAGTCCTTATGATGTGAATAAAGCTCTTAAAAGAGAGCACAGCGCTTCTTCCCCTTCAGGCTGCAGCTTGTCCCGCCAGCAGTTCGTTACACCAAAGTAAAAACTAGCTGAAAGTAGGGGGTCTTTCCTAATAACAATTCAGACTTTCAGTTGGGATGAAACGTACTGAAAGTGAGCAGCAGCACCCCCTTTCACTGTGACGTGTGCACTTTTAAACTCGTGGGAAATCAGAGAACTAGCTTACGATTCACAAACAGAAGGGGAAAAAATATCTTAGGAAACACATCAGACAAGGGGTTGAAAAAGAAGAAATCAAGACTTGCTTTCTTCTTAGGAAGTCTTGTCTTCTGTTGAAATACCCTCGACCATCATGACCTGAATAGCTAAGAATCAACATGGAGAAAAAAAAAAACCCAACTGGTGGGACTCTGAAATAGAGACCTCTAAGTACAGAGTCAAACTAAAGTCTCTTTATATCTTACACTTATTTACAAAATGTCCTTTTTTTCCCCTCCAACAATTAAAATCCAGCTTCTGGCTTGATAAACAGGGCAGATAAGGCAAAGGCCAGAAATACAATCCCTCCGATGATCGTAACTGTGGAAACAAAAAAAGACAGTTTTAGGGAGACAGCCAGACTTGAGGAGAATCAAAACCAATAAATCTGCTTCAAGAATTTTCCCCTCAGGAAACCGGTTCTCATTCACTTCCAAAAAATCTACAGAAACGTTTTACAGAGAAATCTGAACAATCCATTTCAAATTTTGCTTAAAAAACTAAAAAAAACAACAAAAGAAATGGACGGGATCACCCGGCTTTGGATAGTAATATTTAGTAGAATTCTGAGAATCTAGATGCATAAAAGGTAAGAAATGACCCATTTTTGGTGTTAACCTTTACATAAACAAATGGGGAAAAAAACAATTTCTTTTTCAGCAAATATAGCATTAAGATGAAGTTACCACATGGCAGCATCTCAAATAAATCTAACAGTGGTGTAGAATATCTTACCCGTCCGCACAGATATTTTCTGAGCGATCATTCTTCCTCCAATTACGGCCAGTCCTGTACACAAGCAATGCCCAATTGTGCCTCCTACTGCGACTCCAAATGGATCCTCTCTGGCAGCTAGAATAATGGTGGTGAGCTGTGAACGATCCCCCCACTCTGCCAGGAAGGTAAGCGTGAAGGCTTGGATGAAGATGGGGGAAATTAGTTTGGGCCATTTAGACTGAGGGACGGTGCTTCCTGTTCCCGCCTCCACGTCTGGAGTTCCATTAGCCAGCTTTGAGCGCTGAAGCTGCAGATAGAAATAAAAACAATAAAGACCACAACAGCAACAGAATGTGGAAATCCATTACACTGCATCTGTACTGTAATTAATCAGGAACTTTGTAATTACAGAGATTTTCAACTGCTGAGATTTTGACTAGATGCGGGATGGTGGGAACACAAGCCTTGTGTTGCCATTTGTTGACAAAACAGTAACTGAACTGTTTTCTGTGTGTAAACCTGCCAAATAAGCTTTTTTACAACATCTTTAAAAGGACACAGATCACCAAGGAAGCAGCCTGCAGTATTATGTAAATGTTTGCAAACAGAAGAAGAGCAAAGATTTAATTCCTATCATGTAAAATAGTATCAGCGTGTGCTCTGAGAAGGTTGGAAGTACCCGGTTCGATCTCCACAGCAAGACCCTTAACCCCACACTACCCCCCGGGTGCTACACAATGGCAGCCCACTGCTCCCTGAGGGGATGGGTTAAAACTTAATTTCTTTGCTTTGTACTTGTGACAGTGTAATGACAATAAAGTTGACTTCTATTCTATTGTTAACCTTAATCTGATGACTAGAAGCTCTTTGGATTAGCAGGCATCACTGTTGTGTCTCAGATGCTGTAGAACCAATGAATAAATAAGCAGAATTAAGAAATCGAACTTCGCTCAATAGTTGAGCCACAATTATGAATGCTCATGACATTTAAAATGAGTCTTTAATTGTCTTTTTGCAAAACATTCAAAGTTTTTATTAAATATCATAAGTAGAGGTTCACCAACATATCAGCTGGTGACTGTCATGGGAGGATATTTGGCTTCTCTCCGGTCAGGTCCATCTGAAATAGAAAAGTCCTAACCTATCGTGGTGCCAACCACAAAACTAACACATTAGCGTGGAAGCTGTTACAGAGCGAAAAAGACTCAATGCAATACGTTTTCAATATCACTAGCTGTGTTTTTGAAGAAAAAAAAAAGTGGAAATTTTCAATACCAAGTTTTTATGCATTGATAAGGTGGGTGTTCTGTCAAATTGAAATTATGTTTTGGAAAAATGCAATTAAAAAAAACTTTTTTTGCATCATACAAGTCCTGTGGTCTTTACCTCACTGCTGCATATTTGGATTATTGAGGAGACAGTATTTTTTTTACCATTTAGTTTACGACGATGAGCACGATGAGAACTAGAGCCGTGGTTGAAGTATAGATACATCTAATGTGTTTACATCCGCGGCTGTCATTTTTTTTTTTTAGTTATAGCGCGAACAAACGTATTAAAATGTTGCTATTTTGGTTGCATTTCTTATTTAACGGAAATATCGCAATTGGGAAACGTACCATTTTCAAATGAAGAAGAATATCGTATAGTTTTCTGCCCAAATTTGTAATGGAAACGCAACTCATGGGATGTTAAAAGGAAATTTTGAAAAAAAACACAAGAAAATAAGGAGGTATATAATAAAAAGTTAAAACTTTTCTCCAGGCTGCCACAACAGAAAGGTCACCGATAATTTCTGCCAATCAATAAATTGTTAATTCTAACTCCATGTACTAGGGATGTCCCAATCCAATACCGATATTAGATATTATTGGTCCAATATAAACAAAAAATATATAGGAATATATATGTCTGCATCCAAAATATCAGAAACTAACATGCCGATAGAAAAACAAGGCTCAGTCCTTCCATTACCTTATCTTGTCTATTATTCTTTACTTAAGTAATGTCACCTGATCAATTCTTTTCTAATATTTTACTCTACAATACAAGGACTACAAGGTACGCATGAATAAAGCTGATATATCATTCACACGCAAAGCTGCAATATTATTAATGTAAATAAAAAAGTTTATTTGGATATTCTGGCTGTTTTGTGTTCTGATACAAAAGCAGCTGAATATGTAATTGGAAGTTTCTCCTATCTGGTACTTAAGAGCGTTCACACCTTGACTATTAAGGGTTCCATTTTAAAACTTGGAAGTGTTGACAACCTTTCTAAATATTCAAAATGAAAAGGTTCTACAGTCATGGCTAAAAGTTTTGAGAATTATTCAAATGTTAATATTTATAAAGTCTACTGCCTCAGTTTTTATAATGGCAATTTGCATATACTCCACAATGTTATAAAGAGTGATCAGCGTAACAGCAATTAATTGCAAAATCAATATTTGCCTAAATAATTAACTTTATCCCCCAAAACACATTTCAACATCATTGAAGCCCTGCCTTAAAAAGACCAGCTAACATCGTTTCAGTGATTGCCCCATTAACACAGGTGTGGGTGGTGATGAGGACAGGGCTGGAGATAATCTGTCATGATTAAGTATAGAAGTAGAATACAGAAGTAGAATGACATCACTGGACACTTTAAAAAGAGGCTGGTGCTTGGCATCATTGTTTCTCTCCTGTGAACCATGGTCATCTCTAAAGAAACACGTGCATTGCACTGCACAAAAATGGCCTAACAGGAAAGAGAATCACAGCTAGAAAGATTGCACCTCAGTCAACAATCTATTGCATCATCAAGAACTTCAAGGAGAGAGGTTCCATTGTTGCCAAAAAGGCTCCAGGGCGCCCAAGAAAGAACAGCAAGCGCCAGGACAGTCTCTTAAAAGTGTTTCAGCTGCGGGATCCGGCTACCAGCGGTGTGAGGCGGAGACTCTTGGAGCAAGGCCTGGTCTCAAGGAGGGCAGCAAAGAAGCCACTTCTCTCCAGGAAAAACATCAGGGACAGACTGATATTCTGCAAAAGGTACAGGGAGTGGACTGCTGAGGACTGGGATACAGTCTTTTTCTCTGATGAATCCCCTTTCCGATTGTTTGGGACATTTAGAAAACGGCTTTTTCGGAGAAGACGAGGTGAGCGCTACCACCAGTCTTGTCTCACGCCAACCGTAAAGCATCCTGAAACCATTCATGTGTGGGGTTGCTTCTCAGCCAAAGGAGTCGGCTCTCTCACAGGCTTACCTAAAAACACAGCCATGAATAAAGAATGGTACCAGAATTTCCTCCAAGAACAACTTCTCCCAACCGTCCAAGAGCAATTTGGTGATGAACAATGCCTTTTCCAGCATGAGTGCTCCATCATGCTGGAAAGCAAAGGTGATATCTAACTGGCTCAGGGAACACAACAGAGATTTTGGGTCCATGGTCTGGAAACTCCCCTGATCTTAATCCCATTGAAAACTTGTGGTCAATCATCAAGAGACGAGTGGACAAACGAACTTAGGAATTCTGACAAAATGCAAGCATTGATTGTGCAAGAATTGACTGCTATCAGTCAGGATTTGGTCCATAAGTTGATTGAGAGCATGCAAGGGAGAATTGCAGAGGTCCTAAAGAAGAGGGGTCAACACTGCAAATATTGACTTGCTGCATTAACTCATTCTAACTGTCATTAAAAGCTTTTGTTACTCATAATATGATTGCAATTGTATTTCTGTATGTGATGACAACATCTGACAGACACACACAAAAACCAGAAGGCAGCAGATCATGTGAAAATATGATATTTGTGTCATTCTCAATACTTTTGGCTATGACTGTACATTCAGTGGAATATAAGAGTGTGGGTATTGTAATCATAGACAACGGCTGCTTCAAACTCTAAATTATTCCCCCTTGTTTTTAATGGGTCTCCAATTTTACACAGCAGTGATGTCCAATATTTTTCAGTCCGCTGTAATGAATGGATGCAAGCTCCTGCTAGAAACTTTTCAAAGAAATCCCTCGGCTAAAATCTAATCAGCAACTAAAAGCTTTAGCACAGATTAGACTCTTAAATAAAAAAATAATTAAATGACCAGCAAAAACATTCCAGGAAAGCAACCATAAACATGTTCCTAATAGTGGCTGTTCCTGGAAAAAAATTTGCATGTGTTGGATGCATTCTCTTTTTTTTTTAATAGGCAAATCATACTCACTTCCTCATCTTTCTTCTTGATCTCTGCTTGCACCTCCTCAAGCTCTTCCTGCCCTTCATCTGGACTCATTTTCAGTCCCTCCCTCAACATGCGCACCCCAAAAATGGCAAACAAAGCGGTCGACACATAGTATGTGTAGATTCGAGGGATGATTGTAGTAGCATACCCAAACAATACTGAAAAAAGAAGGAGGGACAGTTTTTTATTGTCATCAAACAATTCAATGATTCTTATTCTGCATGATGGTTAAAGAGTTTGTGATAAAAACCTGAAAGGCAAGTCATGACCCAGAGGGCCAGTATGGCCCCTGTCAGCACGGTGAGGCGATTATAACGCATGGCCATGATGGCTGCAATGAAAAAGGTCTTATCCCCCAACTCTGAGACGATGATGACAGAAAAGGAGGCCACAAAGGCATGGATGAAACCCAGGTTTTCTTTACTGGGGCCATTCTCAGTGACGATCGGCCCTGCTGGATGGGGACTTGAGGCTTTCTGTGTAACAAACATGAAAAAAAAAAAAAACAATTTGGGATGAATGAAGTATTTTTTTAATTGAAAAAAAAAATAAATAAAAAATCAGCTTACATGAGAAAACACATAGTAAACAAAACTCGCGAAACTGTGTGTTTGTGGAACTAACTTAAACCAACCATAATCTTTTTAATTTAATTAACTTTAATGTTTATTTTTGAACCTATAAACAAGCTGTAAAAGAGGTTTGTCCACTCTCTTGGCATAACTTCCGGAAAACGTTGATATTTATGGGTTAGCATGTGCTAGCTTTTAGGTGCTAGCAGTTTCAGAGCCGTTCCACCGGCCTCCGCATGTTTAATCGGGCTAGATAAAGTAGAATTGTACCTCCTGTTGGGGCTGATCCTGCATCGCTTTCTGCTCCTCCTGAATAGCTGCAACTCCGACCGACAGCAACAACACGGCGGCGAACAGAAAGGGCAGATTCCTGTTAGCCGCTCCATCTCTTCCTCCAACCAACACAGGCATTATTGCTACTGAAAGCGAGCCGACACGAGCTGTAGGACTGTTTCTACCCTAGAATTCACTTCGTTTCATCATAAACAATAAGAAAAAAGTTCATTTTGACAAACTACTCAGTTTGACGGACTCCTCTGTAACACGTCACGGTGAAACCAACTGGGCCAATTTAAGAGGGAAGTACTCTATAGAAGTACTAATGTCGTTTCCACACTGGCTTAACACAGCCGACACCTGATTGGACAAACAGAAGAGTGACGTTTCACGTATATGATGGCGAACTAAGTAAAGAGTTATATGATTGGATACGCTTATTGTCCGCATCTGCTCACATTTAAAGGGATTTTGTCAGAAATTAAACGAGGACAAATTTCAAATTGGAAAAAGCGTATATTTGAATTTTAAGATGTTCTAAATACGACGAAAACATCTAAAAATAATTATAGAAAAGTCACTCTTAAAACACCGACTTTTAAATCACAAAGAGCAAAAACTGTTACTATTAAAAATGAAGTTATAGACAGCCTTATATGCTGCGGATTAAAAGTTTTAGACTGACACAACCAGGCATGTCCTGAATATTAAAGCCTTAGCATAAATTGATCAGTAGATCAACCTAATGTGTAACCAAGTAAGGCAGAAATTAAAGGTGCAAATTGAAGAATAACGTAAAACGTGTGCAAAAATAAACACAATCTCTACAAAATAATAAATTCAGGAGTATTAATATTTCTTGATTGTAATTCTTTTTTCACAATATATTGTAATTAGATAATTAGCTGTCTTGCTCTTACTAGAATTAAGATAGTAGAGCACATAATCCCAGTTCTGAAGTCCTTACCCTGGCTCCCCTCAGCTTAGAGAATAGACATTAAAATCTTTGTTAGTCTATAAATCACTGAATGGTTCATCTCCTCTGTACAGAACAGATTTGTTGTCAGTGTATCAACCTCCCAGACCACTCAGGTATTCTAGTTCCAGTCCACTC